TCTTCTTCGGGATCAAATTTATTCGATGTTTTTATCAATTAAATCTATTAATATACTACATATGTAGTCTATTTGATAATACTGTTAACAATAAAATAACTAACAATGTAAAGTATATTTTTCTCAAATTTGAATATTTTGTTCTTGAGTTTACTTAATTAAAAACTATGAACAGAAAATGATGCATTGAAATATCATTAAGCTACTAATAATATGATTAGAACAATAAAATATTATCTTGATAGCTTAGCATACATACGAAAATCAGATCTAATTAAAAGATTTTTATACTGTCCTGCAGTGCCAAGAATTCTCATAGAATTGTTTCAATAGTTTTCTTTTTAAAGTCTTATTGTCATCCAATAACCATTGTGATACTTAATTTTACTTATAAATATAAATCAATAGAATAATACGACGAATTTTCTAATGCAACGATCTGTTTGAAGACAAGATTGGATTAAAAATTACTATTTTTCAAAAATTTTTACATGATTTATTTTTATTCAAGTCAATAAGAAAAAAAATTAAATTTCTAATGAAGAAAAATATCCATCTACATGTTTTGAAGAAACCATCCACCCTTTGGAAAATAATCTTTGTATTTTTGAACAATTGCATCGTGTTGCATCTCTTGCAAACTTCATTGTTATAGATCTCAATCGATTATAATCGACATATAAATCAGTTAGACAAGGTAAATGTGTTTTTGTTTCGAGTAGAAATTGTACAACATAATCCTTATGCACATTTGTGAGATCAAGCGTTGTAAGATGTTAATATTCAATAATAGAACAAAATGGATTTTCATCTGATTTCCATTCATCGTGTTTCGACGATTGTAGCATTTCATTTCCTATAGAGAAATGTTTAAGAAAAGGAAAAGATTGACTCATTCGCATGAAGAATTCATGTTGCATTGGAATTCGATCGCAGACATATAAATGTGTTACAGTATTAAGTACAATAGTTGAAAATTGATGTGAGATCTTTTCCAAACGAGTAAATATAAATGGAAGAGAATAAATATGACATCGGCCTGGAATAGTGCCAGAATGATCTATGATGCAACCAGTTGGTCCATATTTTATATTTTTAAATGTTTGTTGGATATCATCATACGATTTACGATGAGATAAATTACAAACTTTAATTTCTGTACTAATATAAAAGATAAATGTTTGCAGTTGAGGCATATGAACAAGAATTTCGCTATGAAGATCCGTACCATCCACGAATACCGAACGCTTTTTCGTATACGAAGATACAATGTTAACTTTTCCAGATGTGTCAGGCGACGAAGAAATGGCAAAACCGAATCATCGTAATGATCAGCGATACTATAACATGTTAATGAAAAGCATTTTGGTTTATGTAATTCATTCTATAAAATATAAAAATATCTTTAGAATACATATTTATCGATTTAGATAAGATAAAATTTTTATATGAGAAACTCATAGTAAAAAAAAGAAAACTCTATTTATTCTCAACATTGAGTCATCTGTACAATATGTAATAATAATCTCTAAAATAAGTAATCAACATTTTAAATCACTCTCTCTATATTGAAAATAATAAATATTTAGAGATAAGTTAAAAAGCAAAACAAAAATAACCTTGACAATTTCACACGGTTTGAAGTTCTAAAATTGATGTAATTTTTAAATTTGCATTATTTATCTTTTAATATCGTGAATTAGAATAATTTTCATACGATTGAAAGTATTTTGATCTCTTTCGATTAATATTATCATTCACTTTCTATGAGTTTTTCAATCTAATAAATTCTATGTAAAAATGGACAATATAAACATTTCAAGTACTGTCAGGATCAGAATTGAATTTTTTTTTACTAACTAAAATCAGGGGAATTTTTTACCAACAGACTTGTCGAGTACATAAATGCACAGAATAGATGAAGTATTAGTCAATTAAAACAAAGTAGTAAATCTTCGAGAAAGAGGAAATTAGAGGTCATATATGTTGTACAAGATGTATCTAGATTATTGGCGCTGCTAGAAAAATCACATAAATTTTTTCTCTAATAAAAGCAAATCTAAAACGAAAAATTTTTCTAATCGCGGTCATTTTCAATGAATAGAAGTACGTTATATTGAAGAAAAATTCTGCAGTTTTTAACTGATAAATTAAGAAGACTTACTTGTTTTCTGTACTAAAATAACAAGAACTGATTAATTTGTGTAATTGTTACAACGCAATTCAGTTATTCGATCTGTTCGTTGAATATTTTTAAACAATTGAAAAAAACATTTAAATATCTTTTCTATTGATTCTGTGGAATGATTTACAATTTCGAGTAATAATAAAACAAGAACAACTATTTCTTTTTAGTCATTTTATAATGATCAAAACTGTAATGATCTATTGATGATTCTTGTAGTAATTATTCAATGCATTAGTATCATGTTATTGTCAATATTATTCTGTAACTTAAAACAATAATAAAACTTCAACAACTTACTACATTGGCAGAGGTTAATAAAGAATGAACGATACAAAGAGTTTCAACATTCAATATTGTTAATTGTTATAGACGGCCATCAAGTCAAGAAAAACAATCATTAATATCAAACACAGTAATATATAATACAGTCAGAGTCGAAGCAAAATATATAGTTGATTGTCGACGATAGACTGATACCCTAGTCGAACCTCTTGTAAGCAAGATCTTGACCAAGATACAAGGTACAGAAATGTGAACAGATCTTGAAAATTTAGGTACAAGATAGTCACATTATCGTGTACCGAGATCTGTAATAAGATCTTAGATACAGATCTATAAGATCTTGGCTGAAATACATGTGGTCCAAAAATGATCAATGGAATTCCTATATGGATGCCTCTAAAGACTTCTGAAATAGTCTTTTCGATGTAAAATTTGATGCTAATTCTGAATATGAAGTTAGATTTCCTCTACAGTCACGAGGGTCTAACAATGGAGGTGTGTGTGATGTAACTCAAGGAGATAGGACATATTCG